TAGGCTGGAGCCATCCTTGTGATTGTTCCACCCAGATACGTAAAGGAGTCCACCTCTTCCAGCTGTTCCCCGTTCATGTACATGACTGCTTTAACCTCATTCCTGCTGTTTACCATCACTTTGCTTTTCTCTGTGCTAGCTTCCATGCCAAAGGAATCAGCACTCTGAGTAAGCCTGTCTGTGAGTTCCTGGAGTTCAGCATTACTACCACCGAGCAAGTCTATGTCATCTGCAAATCGTAGGTTGCAGATGCGTCTTCCCCCGATGGAAATGGACGTGTAGTAGTCTTGGAGTGTGTCCTGCATGATTTTCTCCAAGTACAGGTTGAATAGAACTGGTGATAACAAACACCCTTGCCGGACTCCCACTGTTGTCCTAAAGAACTTCCCAGTTTGGTTGTTCAGGAGGACTGCACTGGTTGCATTCTTGTACAAGGCCTTGACGATCTGAACTAGACCTTCCTTGATGTTGAAACCTCTCAGCACCCACCATAACCCATCATGNCCTACCGCAAGCCGCACGGGTCAAGACGGGAGACTGATCGGGCACCTGACGGGTCCCTGACAGAAACCGGTCACCAAGGGGCCCAAATTTTATGAATATTAATTAGAAGCCGCCGGCTGGAGCACAACCAGGCCCCGACAGGAAGCCGTAAAGGAACATTTAATTGTGACCCTGACAGTCGGCGAACGCTCGGCGTCATGACGCCGGCCGGCGTCTACACCGAGGACATGCCGAACGGGCGCCGTTTCAAATGTGACCAAAGCATAATGCCCCCTTTCTATTTAAAGATGGCCGATAAATATGTTCGTAGATAGACTTTTGGTTCCTGTCAGTTTTCCGTATTTTTTGCTATTCGTGATCTTTTTCTGTCTCGTTTTGCTTCATATTTCGTTCCTACCTACCTACCTACCTAATCCCTCGACCGACCTGGTCGTCGGGGGGACAAGGCAGAGTTTCCCTCCGGTCCGCCGCAGCCAGCAGCTCCGGGACGTTTAGTGATGTCCATTCCTTTATGTTGTCCAACCAAGTTTTCCTTTGTCGCCCCCGTTTGCGACCTCCCTCGAGCGTACCTTGGAGGATTGTTTTTAGCCAGGCTGGTGTGTCTTGTTATGTGGCCAAACCGTTGGAGTTTCCTCCTCCTTACTGTTGTCAACAGTGGTTCCTGGGGACCAACAAGGCTCTGAACTAGTTCCCTCACGTATTTGTTGGTCTTGTGTTCCTTGTACGAGATTTGCAGGAGTCTCCGCAGACATTTTGTCTCAAATGACTGGATTTTCCTTTCTGTCTCTGCCAACAGTGTCCAGGTTTCACACCCATACAACAGGATGGTCACTACCAGTGCTTTGTAGAGCTTATGCTTTACAGAAAAGCTGATGTTGTTGGTTTTCCAGAGTCTGGAAAGGCGGGAGAAAGCAGATGTAGCAACTACCTAACCTTCTACGGACTTCTTCTAGGCTGGAGCCATCCTTTGTGATTGTTCCACCCAGATACGTAAAGGAGTCCACCTCTTCCAGCTGTTCCCCGTTCATGTACATGACTGCTTTAACCTCATTCCTGCTGTTTACCATCACTTTGCTTTTCTCTGTGCTAGTTTCCATGCCAAAGGAATCAGCACTCTGAGTAAGCCTGTCTGTGAGTTCCTGGAGTTCAGCATTACTACCACCGAGCAAGTCTATGTCATCTGCAAATCGTAGGTTGCAGATGCGTCTTCCCCCGATGGAAATGGACGTGTAGTAGTCTTGGAGTGTGTCCTGCATGATTTTCTCCAAGTACAGGTTGAATAGAACTGGTGATAACAAACACCCTTGCCGGACTCCCACTGTTGTCCTAAAGAACTTCCCAGTTTGGTTGTTCAGGAGGACTGCACTGGTTGCATTCTTGTACAAGGCCTTGACGATCTGAACTAGACCTTCCTTGATGTTGAAACCTCTCAGCACCCACCATAACCCATCATGCCACACCCTATCGAAAGCCTTCTTGAAGTCGATAAAATTGTGAAACAGGTCTCTCTGATGTTGCAGGTGTTTCTCTATGATGAGACGACAGTTAAGTATCTGCTCTGTTGTGCTCCGACCGGGCCTAAAACCCGCCTGTTCTTCTGCCAGTAGCATCTCTGCTTCTGACTTGAGTCTTCTAAGAATCACTTTGAGCAGAATCTTACTGGGATGGCTTTTTAAGCTAATGGTCCTGTAATTCTGGCACTGCCGCAAATTTCCCTTCTTGGGTAAGGGGATGACAAGAGACTGAGTCCACTCCTTTGGCCACTTCTTCTCCTTCCAGATCTTTTGGCACAGCACAGTGTAGATGTTTACCACTGGCTCACCACCATGTTTTAGAAGTTCCGCAGGGACGTTGTCCACTCCTGGCGATTTACCTGACTTCATGTTGCGCACAGCGTCCGCAACTTCATCTCTCAGCACAGGTAGATCTTCTTCTACTTCTCCTTCCTCTGTCTCATGGGCGCTGTCCAGTTTTGTTGTGTCTGGGTGGAGCTCGTAATTATAGAGTTCCTTGCAATATTCTGACCATCGGTCAAGTACAGCTGAACTCTCTGTGAGTAGCTTACCACTACTGTCCTCGATGACCGGTCTAGGTAGGGTTAAACACGGCCTAAGTGCCAAAAGACTGTTTATCCAGCTGTTGTAATACATAAAACACATAAAGTCACATTCGCGATCTCATGACTTCTCGATGGAGCGGTCATCGTGAATACCGCGAAATTATAACCACCACGACATTTCAATATTTACAGCACCTTCGCCAAAAATGTTAGCTTTTTTTTAGTAGCGTTTGCGTGTATGTGTATATTGTGTACATGTGTATGTATGTATGTATGATTGTGTGTATTTATGTATGTGGTTTAGCACGATAACTCAAGAAGCTTTTGATGGATTGTCATGAAATTTAGTAGGTGAGAAGGTCTTGATGAGACCTAGAAATGATTAGATTTTTGGCTTCCTGGCGGCTTGCCTTGGTACTGCAGTAGAATTTTTTGGTTTTAATATCTCGCGATCTTGACATGCTAGGGTCACGAATTTTGGATGGTAGATAGCTCTTGGGGAGGGAAAGGAGTGACATGAGTTTCTGCTCCGAGCGGCTTGTTCTGAAACTAAAGGAGAGTTTGTTGAAATATCTTCGAAGGAGGATTACTCAAGAACCGGTTGACGGATTGTCGTAATTTCTGGTATGAGGGTAACTTAGGTGATGATTGACAAAGATTGAAATAAACGTTCAAAAATTCTAATGAACAGGCACAGTCTGCTATTAATAACCTTTAATAATAACCTCTGCCAAGTGAATCACACTGCAGTAAGATTAAGATGAAGCAGGCAACAGGCCAACTCGCGCATTTCCGCCAAAAGCCCGGGCAAGCTCCCAATAGACTGGTTATCTAGCTGTAGTACTACCTAAAACAAATGACATTCGCGATGTCATGACTTTAGATAGAAACAACGTATTTTTATCATTTTTGGTGTAAGTAGCTGAGAGAGAGTTGTACATAATTAAATGCAAATTATGCAAATGATGACTTAATTCTATAATTACAGTGTTTTACATAATGGTACTTTTATACATCATTCGTAGCGATGGCAAGATGACAAAGTTGAGACGGAATTCAACCGGTTTCGACTTTTTATTCAGTGTTTATCAAGAATGACAGAGATCGGACCTCTCCTTCTTTTATTCTTTTACCGTGCCTCTCTTACGCAGGGCGCTCTGCTCGAGTAATTTTAAACAATCATGTTATCCATTTAATCTGTGGTAGTTAAAATGTCAACAGAAACCAGTTATGCAAATGATGACCTAATTTGCATAATTAATGTAAAATTATGTGAGTTTTTATTGGTGAATGATACGAATCTTATACCTTGTGCCATGTGTAAGATAAAGCTTAACACCACTATGCATATATTATGTTAATGTAGAAGTCATTTGCAAAATTACTGAGGACATGTTGAAATGAAGTATGGCAATGGAGAGGAATTTTACATTAAAATAGTGTCATTGGAATTTTAAAAAAACATAGATTATGATAATTGCGACCTTATTTTCAGAGTCAATGAGAGAAATAAAACAATTACGAAAACCAATATTTCATGGTGGTATGAGGTCTCCGAATGCTTGTTAAATCAGTTCAGTTAAGTGAAGTAAAATTCTATGCCAAGAGAAAAACTATTTAAAGACATATAGGTTATACAATAATTATATGGAACATCTAATTTCTACAAAAAAATACCTAATGGTTTATCATCTAGTGCACATATTGTAAACAACAGCCCTTATAAAACAGCCTATAAACTGACCTTATGCGAGCTGTAAAACGCTGACCTAAACGTCTGGTTGTGGTTTGAAAGGATGCTTAACTTTTAAACGTGTTTTTGTTTTTACCTGTGGAGCGGAAGTATTGTTTTGGGCAATTCTGGTTTGTTGTAACTTGTCCAGAACATTGTGAGAATTCGGATTGAGCGGTCGGGGATTGCATTTGGGTTTCAGTTGACTGCCAGGGTTGTGTAAGAAACAAAAAAAAATCTATAATATAGTTTTCTGACAAGTGTGGCGTGTTTCTGATTAATTCTAACTACCGTTTCTGCATTTTTGCATCTAGGTTAAGCCAAGTCACCTGCAGGATATCGTAAAAAAAACTGTTATAAAGTAGCTTACGCGCAAAGATGATGGCCTATGTGACGTTTTATGCCGTCTTCCTACTGGTCAGCCTGATTCCATCTGTCCAGGCTGGCCGAGAAGCGGGGTTTTGGGTTGGAAACGTCACAATTACCGAGGACGCGTCTGTCGGCAGCACAGTCAAGCACCTGCGAGACTTTCTTAACGTCGGCGATGGCCTAATGGAAGAGGAAAACGGAACGTCGTGGTCAGTGAACATCACAAGTGGCAACAACCTCAGACGGTTTGAGGTTGTTGTTGAGAATTTGACGCTAATCGTCGCAGCACCGCTGGACTATGAGTATAACCCGCGATACAACCTGTCCCTGGAGCTGACAAATACTGGAGACAACAGCGTTTGGCATGTAAACCTCGCCATCGTGGTCACGGACGTGTGGGGATACCCGCCATACTACAGCAAACAGTGTGAAACACCAGTTATACCTGATACTGGGACGGCTGAGAACTATTTTCTACTGAGCAGCCCTAATGGGCAATTCGATGTTGTAATTAATGGCGAAGAACGACAGTACCCAGACTTTTTTTCCCTGTTAGAATCCCACGATGCTATCATGAACGACTGCTCCCTTCGGCTGTGTTCTACTTTGAACCCATATTGGGAAGTTCTGCTCCGCCCGGCTCTTGAGGAGACTCATGAGAATGGAGGGAGGATAGAGTTTCAATGTCGTGACAGACAGTTGAGAAGTGTAGGCAAGTTTATATTTTTCGATGTTTCGAAACAAATGTTGCCTGAGTGGGCACAGGATAAAATGTGTAGCATGACAGAAGGTTATGCTGTAGTTGTTAAGATGAATAAGATAAGATCCACGTCGTCCTATTGGATACAATGTAGCGCTAACGTCACAGTTTACGGTGCGACATGGCCTGTTGATGTTATATTTCAGTACGACATTACAGGGTGTCCCGAGGGCAGGTACGGTCTGTACTGTGACAAGGACTGTGTTTGTAAGAACGGCGCCCGGTGTCATGGCTTTAACGGTGCCTGTGAGTGCCGCCCGGGCTGGAGAGGGAGGGCCTGTGATATTCCCTGGCCTGAAGTTGTCGTCATAGCGTCACCTGGCGATTCAGTCGTAAAGTACATCGGTGCTAATCTGACATTGACCTGCCTGGCTCCACACATCCAAGTAGCTAGTATGATGTGGGTTTATGAAACAGAAAGCTATTACAACGATACAAAATCATTGAAGAAGGGGCGGTACAGAACAGTTCCATCAACTTCCAGCCAGTCTCAGAATCAGACAACGGTGGTTATACTTGCGTGGTAAAAGCTGTAAATGGTGGAGTAATTAATGCAACCTTTTCCCTCAACGCCACCAAATGTCGACCTAACTATTATGGAGAGGTTTGCAGCCAGGTGTGTGACTGTGAGTACGGAGGGACGTGTGACAGGTGGGAGGGGTGTCTGTGTCCTCCCGGCCGTCGTGGAGACAGGTGTCAGCACACCTGCGCACCTGGCAGTTTTGGTTGGAACTGCAGCATGACATGTCAATGTCAGAACAACTCTGTGTGTGATGCAGTAAATGGGACTTGTAATTGTTCGGAATGGCAGTCAGGCGAATTTTGTGAAATCGGGGCCAAATCGGGACAAAAATATAATCAAGTCGTTGTTATAGTTTTGGCGTCCATTCTTCCTGCTGTTGTTATACTTGGCTGCATCATAATTGTGACCATGGTAAAACAGAGGGTCACAAATTGGAGCGGGCTACATACAATGAACAGAGAGGACATAGAAATGGAGCCTCTGTCATCATGGGAACTAGACAAAGAGGACATATGTTTTGAACACATGATAGGCGAGGGGGAGTTCGGCCATGTAGTACGGGGAAGACTGCGCGTGCCTGAAGGCTACCAAGTTTTGGTTGCCGCCAAAAGTATCCGGCCTGACCGCATGACGGCGTCTGCTGTCCGCGACTTTCGCCGCGAAATGGACATTCTCGCCAGGATCCACGAAGACAAAGAGGGACACCCGAACGTGGTGAAGTTTTACGGAGTTCTGACTAAATCAGATCCACAGTACATTGTTGTAGAGTACGCGGCTAATGAGGAACTGCGCCGGTACCTGTGGGGTTTGAGAGAACAACTCAAAGTC